CTTTGTTCTGTTTCGAAAGTAGTATCTATTTCTGGTGACATTTTTTCCTACACTGAAGCTGTGCATCAGTTAATTTCTGCCCTCATCAAAGCTGAGTCCATGGGTTATATGACCAACGAACATATATTTCAGTTTTAGGATGATTTCTGAAGGAGAGGAACAGTGACAAGTGAGTCTGTGTGACAGGCTAAAAGTTAGGATGCCGAGTGGAAAGAGAAAGGGCTTTGTGTCTGGCAGTCTTGGGGCTGAATCCCCCTGCTGCCGGTTCCTGCCACAAGATCTACTGCACAGTTAAGTGTTTTGAGTGTCCATTTCTGCCTCTGTAAAATAGAATGCCTCTCCTCGGGTTGCTTTGAGGATCACATGAGATGACTTATGATAATAAGTGACTGGCATGTTGAAGGCATCCAAGAAATGATAGCTGCTTCCTTCCGTACCCCCAGGTGTGGCCACTTTGGGGAAAGTTGCCGTATGTGATTGCATGGAGTGTTCCCACACGGTTTTTCTAGCTTGAACCCATTGAGGTTCTGTGAAGTGAGAAACAGGTCCTCCTGAGTTCTCACCCACAGAGTATTTATTAATTGGGTAGAAATTAAGTCCCTAGCTATCATTTGGGAAGACTGATTATCAAATGTTTTTTCAACACATACTCTTCTATGCTCTGAAAGAAAGGAGAACACTGAGGCTTTCTGGGAACAGACAGTATTAACTCATGAAACAGTTTTTAGAGCAACACAAGAGTAGTTTCTAAAATACATCAAAAATATTTAAAGTCTCTAAATGTACCTTGGGCCTTTCTGATTGACAAAAAAAGAAGGTAGTACAATGGGTAGATTACAGATTTACGAAGAGGTGTTTTAAACTGTTTTATTAATTTCCATTACCATTTCCCGTCCTCATTCACAGACCTCTTTCTTTGAAAAGCTTATTCATCCTAAGTCCTGGGCATGCACAGCTACATTGGACACGTGCCTGCCCTGGCTGAGTGTGGAGTCTTGTGAACTGACCGGTCATGGTTGGCACAAAGGCTAGGGGTGCCCATGTCAGAGCCCAGCTCCAACACATACGACTCTCCCACCTGCATGCGTCACTGGACCCCAGCGAAAGCCCGCATTTCTTCTTGCACATGCCGTTCTCAAGCCGGGACTTAAAGAATCCTAGATTGTGGAGGCATAAAAGCCAAGGGAGAGGTTGCCAGGTTATTCATTACAGAAGCCCACCACATTTTTTATTCTAGTCGGGTAAAATCATTAGCATTTCCCTTGCTGTGCCTTTGGAGAACACAAGGTTAGGGTATGTGAAAGATCGGTGGAGATTTTCAAGCCAAGGTCTAGAAAAAGAGAACCTTCAAAATTGTTAAGTACAAAATGAGAGCTTATTATTTTTTAAAGTTTTAGATTTTTACTACCTTCCTTTGAATTTGGGATGATTTCTAGGATGTAGGTGTAAAATAGATGCATCCTCCAGTTTTTGTTTTTCTTGATTTTAGCCTCTATATAGTGTCCGTTCTTTTAAGCAAATTCTAAACGGCTGTTCAGTACAAAACAGTATTTGGCTCTTTCACCTCTTCTGAATGGTCTTACTGGATCTGCTCTTCTGCTACATGCGTTCTTACAAGTGGTGTAAAAAAGTTTCCACAGGTAGACTGTAGGTAGATTGGTCTCACTGCTTGGCTTAGCAGTGGGGTGGTAGTTTTCAATGAACAGAGTTGATCTGCCTGCTTGTATACTGTCTCACTGAACCTTCTCTCCTCTCTTATATCATAGAGAAGGGGCCAGCCACAATTGTCTCTTCAGAGATCAGGAAATTTTAGGCCTTCAGGGGACCTTAGAAGTTACCTCATTTTGGGGCGCCTGGGTGGCTCAGTCAGTTAAGCATCTGACTTCAGCTGAGGTCATGATCTCGCGGTCCATGAGTTCGAGCCCCCCGTCTGGCTCTGTGCTGACAGCTCAGAGCCTGGGGCCTGCTTTGGATTCTCTGTCTCCCTCTCTCTCTGCCCCTCCCCCACTCACACTCTGTCTCTCTCTGTCGCTGAAAAGTAAATCTTAAAAAAAAAAAAAAATGAAGTTACTTTGTTTGACCTACTTCTTTGGCTTGATAATAGGTAATTGAAGCCTAGAGAGGTTATGGGATTTACCTGAGGACCTCCATTAGTTAACAGAAAGAATTAGAATTAAAAAAAAAACAAAAAAGTTTCTGAATCCCTAAGCTTGAATCAAATGTTTACTAAGGTGACTAGCTAACCATATCTCCTTTGGTAGTGTTTAATATGGAACTGGAAGTTTTCAACCTATTTGTGAATTTATTTTACTAGTTTTTAGAACATTGTTAGCAAACTGGTGCATTCTCAAAGTTTACAAAGTAGTTAAAGTGACATTTGGTATTACAGATTTTTTTTTTTTTTTGAGGTTGTATTGTGTGTTTAATGGAAATGTGGAAAGGTGCAAATTGTATTTCAAACAACTAGAAAGTAACTCTTGCTTTTTTCGGTACTTACTTTGACGTAGATACAAAATATGAAAAGTCCTTGTTTTCTTGAAAAGCTGTACATTTTTCATATTCACGGACAAGAATCTAGAAACTGGGATTACAATCACTCTAGTAAAACTAGGTTTATAATTTATAAAATCATAAAATATGGACTTATGAAGTATGAATCCTGGGCACTTCTACAGGAATTCAGATCTGCAACTGATTCCTGCTGTTACCATGGTTTTTAAAACAGATACATTCCTGTAGTGTGGGAGGGTGGCTGCCCTTGGCCTTAAATGGCTCCCTTCATCAAGTCTTTGTTTTGCCTACACGTTCTTTGAGATAAATCGGATTTGGGTGCTGGCACCTCTTGCTTGTCTCCATGCCCTGCTAAGCTTGGTGTGCAGTAGCCCATGGTTATTAAAATCCTTATCACCATAAGGAGTTAATTATGAGCATAGTTATTTTCTGGGATTAGAAAGGCCTGCTGAATTCAACAAGTGACTCAAAAATAGTCTTATATTTCCTAATAGTTAAAAGTGTGATTAATACCAGCAGCTAGTTCTGTGATTTAACTGTTAACAGCAGGAATTCAGGAGGTAATAAATAGGTGAGCAAGGTAAGGAGCCATAAGATATAATTTAAATTTGAGTTCCTCAGACACAGAAGAGTTGGCCCACATAAGATAAACTCCTTTTAATGCCATGAAACTAAATGAGATCTGTTTTACATAAACGGGCCACCTTCACAGACTATCTACTGTCTGGGTGTGGTTGTGTGCCCTTAAATGGAAGGCAAGACCGTTCTTGTCCATTAAACCCGGATTAGCTAACACCAGGAGACCTTGAGAAGACTTTTTGTTCTGCTGTGCAGAACTTCAGCTTTTTCAACATTTAAGAAATAAAAAGACAAATGACCTTGTGTTTTTCTCCTGGGGCAGCTATTTTTAATTTTTTTGCACAATTACCCAATGGGATTGCAGCCAGAATTGAATGCTGATAGGTAACATTTGAACTTCTTCCCAAATCTTAGTTGGTTTATTCTATATGTTCTGCATTTTACATTTCAAAATTTGAAAATCGGCCACACAATTTTGTGTTTTGGGTCTTGAGTAAAATAAGGTGTGTGTTGATTGGATACGTTGTGATACAAGGTGAGATACCCTTTGGAGAGCTCCCTGGGGCAGTGGACACTCAAAGCCCAGTTGTTCGTTGATGGAATATTAATTCTGCTGGATGCTACGTTAATTCCACTGAGCTGGTTTTTGAGTTCTGTATCAAGAAAATGCATAGTCCGTTTATATGTGTTGGTTTGTGATAAAGTTCGCTGCACGGGCAGAACTTTGCCTGCCAAGTTCAGAATAATTTGTAAAATGCTAGTTTTCAAACTGATTTATTCAGAAAACCGTTTATCCACCCTTCCAACATGAAAGGGTCAGACAACCAGTCTCTTCCTGTGAAAATAAGTAAATATGAAGGAAGAAGCCAGGTAATTATGGAAACCTAAGTTTAGCATTATTATTTAATGGCTTGATTACTTTAAAATTTTCTGTGGGCACAGTTCTAGATATTGACATGACTTAAAGCATAGTCCTTATATTCTTTATCTTGTAGGTACTTTCTTTCCTCTCACATGTTTTCATTGCCTTACTGCCAGCCAGCCACAACCCATATGGTGATACCAACATTTCATTTTTTATTCTAGCCTATTAGGAATTTTCTCACTTCTAAAGCCTTACAGCTGAATGTATTTATTTAAAATTAAAATATAAACCCTTCTTAATCCCAGCTGTTCTGAGTGAGTAAATTCTTCACATTTGGAAAAAAGACTAACACACCCATGAGTATCTAATCCATGTCAGGGTAGGGATGGGGCCATCTCCCTTCTCTCCGCCCCCAGCCGAGGGAAAGACGACTCCTCATGCTAACCTGTTCTTTCTGAGAAGAGGAAGGAACACCTTCACTTCCAGTCACGGTGTGTCCTCTCCTGGAGGGCCACCCTCTGCCTTCAGAGGAGACAGATGTTCCTGACACATCAGCTTCCGGTTGGTGTTGGGCTCCTGTTATAGGAAGGGTTAACATAGGCATGTGTCATCTGTGTTTCTAGGTCTAATGCACAGAGACTTGTCTAATTGATAACAGAGCTGAAATAGGTGTCCAACAAAATCACAAAGCTAGAGGACTTCAGTGTCCATGTTTTTTAAGGGAGACTCTGGTAACTTAGTCATCATTTATAACATTGTTGCTAAGGAGCTGTTTACTCAGAATTCCAGGTAGGTGACTTACCGAAGCTAACATATGAAGTTAGCTTCTGTCTGGTTGAATACAGCTTTCAGCCAGTGTCTGGCCGCCTTGCTCTGTGCTTTGCAGTTCAGCTCTACCAACGGGGAGAGAAAGAGATGAGGGGGAAGCCAGGCACTCAGCCTGGTCTACTGGTGAGTGAGAGTAGCTCCGTGTGCAGGCCCCCAGGATGCTGTGAGGAGTAACCAGCTGATGCCTAACTGATTTTAACTTTCTTCCCCACCTTAGGATGATTCCAGCCCTGCCACTCCAGATGGGAATGCACCCTCCACTACAACAACCAGTGCCTTCACCATCCAGGAGTACTTTGCCAAGCGGATGGCAGAGCTAAAGAATAAGCCACAGGTCATAGCTGCAGGGCCTGACCTCACAGAGACCCAAATGGAAAGAAAAAGGGGAAAGAAAAGAAAGAAGGAGGCAAAAGATAAAAATGTGGAGAATTACACCGAACCCAAGGCCAAGAAGAAGAGAGACCAAGTTGAATGGCAGCTCAGTGACCCTTGTTGGGACGAGAATTCTGGTGTTTCTGCTGAGGATGGAGAGGATTGTGTGTGGCCGCCTGATGACCAGGACATTGCCCCAAAGCCCAAAAAAAGGAAACAAAAGAAAAAGCTACAAAAGCAAGTTGAGGTAGCAGTGGATGCTATATTAGATGAAATACCAGTGAAAAAGAAGAAGAAAGGTCCCAAATAAGTTCTCCAGAGCCAGGGCCTTCCAGCCACTCAGATGTCAGGGCACCACGAGCAAACACCTTTGGCCTGAAGTCAGAACAGAGTTCACCCAAGAGGGCTTTGACATGCCCAGGGGTTGCTGAGTCTCGCCCTCTCACCACGTTTTTCCCAGCGTTTATCCAGAGAACTTTCTAATGTTCCAAATCATGGCTCTCATAAACAAATAAATTTCTTTTTAGACTGTGAGCCCTTCAGCATGAGTGTTTATTCATATTTATCTGAACACATAGTTATGTGTGTGTGCACATGTGTATGTAGGTATGTCACAGTCTGTATTTGCTCTTGATTTCCTTCAGTAACAATGAATTTTGCTTCCTTCTCAAGGATTTAGTCTAATTAAAGGATTAAGAGGCAATAGTTTAGATTCAGATAGTTCTTTTTGTTCTATAGCCAGCCATACGTTTTTGCCAAGCAGGTATTATGTGATTACATTCCCAAATCAGAGCGTTGTTGGGTTTAGTTTGGTTTTGATGGGGAAATTGTTTTAATACCCTCTCTTCCACTGAGCGATGATGGCCATGTGTTCTGAGGTCTTCTCCCCAGAACGTCAGAGTTTAGGAAGTGAACTGAGACTCTAAGGATAGTGTAACCTTCCCGTTCTCTCAGGATGCCCCTCAGCCGTTCCTCAGCCAGTGTGGGCCGTCAGATCTATTTCCATGTGGTCGTGCTTGGGGATAGTCCCCTGTCGTGGGCTCTGCCTTATTTGTAATGATCAGGAGTTTCAAAAATACTTAGAATATAAGGTAATGAAATTAATTTCCTCTGGAAGGCAGTCTCTAGATTGGGACTGCCTTATGAAAGTTCTTAAAAGTATAATTATTACATATATAATAAAAGGTATCTTTCCATCCTGCTCAAACCAAAAGGTGTCACCTCGTTGTGTTTATCCTTCTGTCTTCCCACACCCTGGCAAGTCTCCCGGTGTGCTGGTTAAGCTCTCTCTGTGCGGCTTTGCTTCAGACACCCTCACGCCCTCTTTGGGACACAAAGTGAAAAAGGTTTGGAGATCCAAGCCTACTGTTTTCCCAGCGTGTTTGCCCTCTTCTGCTTACTTTCTTCTCCTCATCTCTCCCTTCTTTTCTTCATCCTTTTCCCCTTTTACTCTTTCTTCCCTGCTCTCTCCTTATCTTTGCCCCCCCCTTTCATGTACCCCCTTTCTAGCTTCCTACTCCCTATGTCACTCTTGCAGTTTGCTGCTGTTTGGCCCGCTCTGCCAGACCTGTGAGCATAGCTGGGAGGGGTGGCGGGTGGGGTAGGCTATATGCGTCCTCCACCTGATTTCTAGATTGCTCTGGGGTAGTAGGAACCAGAACTCCCACACAGGTTGATGACCTTTTGCCCTTGATTCTAACTCTCAGGTTACATGTTACGCATGAACCATGGCCCTGAAATGCTTTAAATTGACAAAATACATAACATTTGGTTTTAAGTCTTAAGAATTCTGAACAGTGTTGCTAATTGTTTAAACACACACACACACACACACACACACACACACACACACACACCCCACAGAGAAAATTCTCAGGAGTTCAGAGCCCGAGATCTAGGTTTTCAGTTTTATCTTGGCCCCCAGAATTTAGAATCTCAGGCTATGGTCTAGTCTAATAAAACACCCAAGATTTTTTTTAAAACAGTTTTTGCATTTCAGAGTTTATTTTTGAGAGACTGTGAGAAGGGGAGGGGCAGAGGGAGAGAGAGAGAATCTCAAGCAGGCTCCACGCTGTCCGCATGGAGGCTGACTTGGGACTTGATCTCATAAACTATGAGATCATGACCTGAGCCAAAATCAGGAGTCAGATGCTTAACCGACTGAGCTACCCAGGTGCCCCAAACACCTAAGATTTTTAAAGTCAATTTTCTTTACGGAGACACATGCTCAAGTTATCTCTTCTTGTCCTATCTTGTTTATGAAACTATAGTTCCAGAAAGGAGTGGGAATGTATGAAACCTAAAGGAAACTATCTTTTAAGTATATATTTATACTTAAAGTATATATTTATTATATATACTTAAAGTATACTTAAGTATATATTTATATATATACTTATATATATAGTATATATATATATATATACTATATATATAGGGTTTTTTTTTCTTTTTTATTAACTTTCACTTCTTTTACTAATAAAAATGAGTGTCAGGAGAATATACTGAATTGTGTGTAGGAGGAGGAAGCAAATGGCTATGTAGGAAGCAGAGTACAATGCATCCGGGTCAAATGGGGTGAAGGGGCAACTGGGAAGACCACAGGCCAGAGGTGCTGAAGGGACGTTCTTTGGAATTCCAAGGTAGTCACACAGCAAGATAAAGCACAACTTCCATAGAGCAAGCCTGTAGACTGTGATGATTATTTTCTGAGAGAGAGAGCAGGAGCAGGAGGAGGGCCAGAAGGAGAGGGAGAGAGAAGCCCAAGCAGGCTCCATGCTGTCACCATAGATACTGAGGCAGGGCACCATCTCACAACCATGAGATCATGACCTGAGCCGAAATCAAGAGTCAGACACTTAACTGACTTGAGCCTCCCAGACGCCCCTGTGATGATTATTATTTTATTGGGCTGCAGAAATAACTTCTAAATGGTTTTAATCACAAATGGGTAGCCTGAGTATAAGGCACGTTTTCAGCAAATAGCAGACAGGGTGACCATTTGCTTTGAAACACACGAGTCTGTTTTCTCCAGACATCTTCAGCTTCCATTTTTCCCAAGTGTCTCAGAACACTGAGTTTTCTGGATCTAAGTGGAAGTCAGAACTATGAAATAAATCCTCTTGAGAATTGCATTTCATAGGCATATTTTTTAAGTTAACATACGAATCCTATTTTTTACCTTAAATTACCTCAGTAAAAATATATTTCGTATTCTTAAGTACTTTTCTTCAGTTTTGAGAGGGAAGGTAGGTTCTCAGGAGATTTATCCAGCAAGGAGGTTCCAAACGTTGTCTTGTAGTACCGTTCTTTTTTGTTGTTAATTTATTTATTTTTTTTCAATATATGAAATTTATTGTCAAATTGGTTTCCATACAACACCCAGTGCTCATCCCAAAAGGTGCCCTCCTCAATACCCATCACCCACCCTCTCCTCCCTCCCACCCCCAATCAACCCTCCGTTTGCTCTCAGTTCTCAACAGTCTCTTATGCTTTGGCTCTCTCCCACTCTAACCTCTTTTTTTTTTTTTCCTTCCCCTCCCCCATGGGTTCCTGTTAAGTTTCTCAGGATCCACATAACAGGGAAAACATATGGTATCTGTCTTTCTCTGTATGGCTTATTTCACTTAGCATCACACTCTCCAGTTCCATCCACGTTGCTACAAAGGGCCATATTTTGTTCTTTCTCATTGCCATGTAGTACTCCATAGTGTATATAAACCACAATTTCTTTATCCATTCATCAGTTGATGGACATTTAGGCTCTTTCCATAATTTGGCTATTGTTGAGAGTGCTGCTATGAACATTGGGGTACAAGTGCCCCTATGCATCAGTACTCCTGTATCCCTTGGGTAAATTCCTAGCAGTGCTATTGCTGGGTCATAGGGTAGGTCTATTTTTAATTTTCTGAGGAACCTCCACACTGTTTTCCAGAGCAGCTGCACCAATTTGCATTCCCACCAACAGTGCAAGAGGCTTCCTGTTTCTCCACAGCCTCTCCAGCATCTATAGTCTCCTGATTTGTTCATTTTGGCTACTCTGACTGGTGTGAGGTGATATCTGAGTGTGGTTTTGATTTGTATTTTCCTGATAAGGAGCGATGTTGAGCATCTTTTTATGTGCCTGTTGGCCATCCAGATGTCTTCTTTAGAGAAGTGTCTATTCATGTTTTCTGCCCATTTCTTCACTGGGTTATTTGTTTTTCGGGTGTGGAGTTTGGTGAGCTCTTTATAGATTTTGGATACTAGCCCTTTGTCCGATATGTCATTTGCAAATATCTTTTCCCATTCCGTTGGTTGCCTTTTAGTTTTGTTGGTTGTTTCCTTTGCTGTGCAGAAGCTTTTTATCTTCATAAGGTCCCAGTAATTCATTTTTGCTTTTAATTCCCTTGCCTTTGGGGATGTGTCAAGTAAGAGATTGCTACAGCTGAGGTCAGAGAGGTCTTTTCCTGCTTTCTCCTCTAGGGTTTTGATGGTTTCCTGTCTCACATTCAGGTCCTTGATCCATTTTGAGTTTATTTTTGTGAATGGTGTGAGAAAGTGGTCTAGTTTCAACCTTCTGCATGTTGCTGTCCAGTTCTCCCAGCACCATTTGTTAAAGAGACTTTTTTCCATTGGATATTCTTTCTGCTTTGTCAAAGATTAGTTGGCCATACGTTTGCGGGTCTAGTTCTGGGGTTTCTATTCTATTCCATTGGTCTATGTGTCTGTTTTTGTGCCAATACCATGCTGTCTTGATGATGACAGCTTTGTAGTAGAGGCTAAAGTCTGGGATTGTGATGCCTCCCGCTTTGGTCTTCTTCAAAATTACTTTGGCTATTCGGGGCCTTTTGTGGTTCCATATGAATTTTAGGATTGCTTGTTCTAGTTTCGAGAAGAATGCTGGTGCAATTTTGATTGGGATTGCATTGAATGTGTAGATAGCTTTGGGTAGTATTGACATTTTGACAATATTTATTCTTCCAATCCATGAGCAGGGAATGTCTTTCCATTTCTTTAAATCTTCTTCAATTACCTTCATAAGCTTTCTATAGTTTTCAGCATACAGATCCTTTACATCTTTGGTTAGATTTATTCCTAGGTATTTTATGCTTCTTGGTGCAATTGTGAATGGGATCAGTTTCTTTATTTGTCTTTCTGTTGCTTCATTGTTAGTGTATAAGAATGCAACTGATTTCTGTACATTGATTTTGTATCCTGCAACTTTGCTAAATTCATGTATCAGTTCTAGCAGACTTTTGGTGGAGTCTCTCGGATTTTCCATGTATAGTATCATGTCATCTGCAAAAAGTGAAAGCTTGACTTCATCTTTGCCAATTTTGATGCCTTTGATTTCCTTTTGTTGTCTGATTGGTGATGCTAGAACTTCCAACACTATGTTAAACAACAGCGGTGAGAGTGGGCATCCCTGTCGTGTTCCTGATCTCAGGGAAAAAGCTCTCAGTTTTTCCCCATTGAGGAAGATGTTAGCTGTGGGCTTTTCATAAATGGCTTTTATGATCTTTAAGTATGTTCCTTCTATCCCGACTTTCTCA